CTTCCTCCTCAAATATAATACATTTTTTAAAATTTGTTGATTTTTTTTTGTGTGTCATCTAAAACATTTTTATATCACCCACCTTAATGTGTGAGCAACATAAGTTGTAACTAAACCTGCAAAAACTACTTGAAGGGGTATTCAGTTTTTAAGTACACAAAAATAATTTATTCAATTCTAAAACTCTAGTCTATTGACTCTCATTCCTCTCCAACCTGTCACAAAATAAAACTAAGGGAAAACAAAACACTAACAGCCAAAAAGCCAGTTAAAACTGAATTTTGCCTACGCCACCACTAGATATCTAATACAAAGGACACTAGATAAAGATAGTTTGCCACATTCTACTACCACTATTCACCCCTCTTCACCCTTTATTCACCTTCAAGATGCTATTAAGTGTCTAAATGAAAGTTAAATCACAGTCCATGATACCTTCTTTTAAACTGACAACATGTCGCAGGACCACTGTTGTAGGGTAAGCAATTTCATTTCCCTGCACGTTTTTACTACCTGGTCTTCAATTGATTTATGATCAGTTTCTTGAAGCCAGGAACCAAGAAGAACACTGTCATCATAATGGCAGAGGGATCGGAGGAGGGAGGTAGTTGTGTTGGCTGAGTTGTCAGTCAAAGTAAATTCTGCTACCAGTTCTCTAAGAAGTGCATTGAAAGATCCTAAAATACAGAACTTCAGATCAGATTTTAAAAAATACAATCATTTCCGTCAAAAGAAGCAACATTTTTGATAGGAATAAAATTAGTCCCTACCCCCAGTACAAAGTCTATACCAATTTTCTTTTTCTATTATTTATTATTTTTATTTTATGTATATTCGTGTACTGCCTGCATGTAGGTGAGTGTACCTGTGTCATGCAATGCCTGCAGAGGTTGGAAGAGGCTGTTGGATCCCCTGGGACTGGAGTTATAGACAGCTGTTAGCTGCCATGTGGGTGCTGGGATTTGAACCTGGGTCTTCTGCAAGAACAACCAGTGTTCTTAACCGCTGAGCCATTTCTCCAGCTCCATAATTTTCTTTTTAAAATAGACGGGGTTCTCACTATGCTGCCCAGGTAGGCCTTGAAGTCTTGAGTGCAAGTGATTCCCCGGTTTACCCTCACAGATGGCTGAGACTACAGGCACATGCCACAGTGCTCAGTCTAAAATCTATATTAAATATTTAAGACTGCATTTTCTTTTCCCAACAGTTCTGAGGAATGTGGGGTTTTACACACGTTAGGTAAATGCTCTATTACTGAGCTACGTCCTTTGGCTCTTTAGTTTTTATTTTAGGACAGCATTTTACCCAGGCTGGCCTTGAGCTCACTCTGTGATTTAGACAGGTCTTGAACTTGTGATCTTCCTGCCTTAGCATCCTAAGTAGCTGAGATTACAGGGCTTTGCCACTAGGCCCAGCATATTGTGGTTTTAATACATAATAATTGTACTTTACTTTTTATTATGGTATAAATACAGTTTGAGTCCAAAGTAAAAGTAACCAAAAAACCCAAATAGTAAACAGATCTTTTATTTTAAATATATTAAATGTTACATGCCATTATTTATTGTTAACTGTCAGACAATGTACAAACACCAAAACAGCACACACCAAAATTCTTGGGCTTATTGGTATTAGAAAGAAATTTGTGGTTCAATATTAGTATTTTATATATTTCATTTCTGAAGCAAATGATACTCTCCTTTCAGATACCCAAATTATTGGCTATATGACAGTATTTATGGAACAGCTGAGGAAAGTAATTTAAATATAGACACTGGGGGTAAATCAGCTTGGTCTGAATCCAAACTCTGCCATTTACTAGCTCTAAGACCCAGGCAAGTTATTTTATTTTTCTCTACCTGAGAATCTTGATCTATAAAATAGGGGTAACTATCTCTTAAGTTGAACTATAGTCACAGCAACATAACAGATGTAAAGAGCTTGGAATGGGAACCAGAACATGGTTAAAATTCAACAAATATGAACTCTGCTACGTGAAGGTAAAATGGTGGCCTTCTTTTGCAAAGTGGCTTTGAGGAAATACCGTGGTCAGAACACTCATACTGGAAGACCCTGAGCAGCACGCTGAAGAATTTATCAGATACTATATGATTTGTTTACCTTCATAAGTTTTTGGAGGTAATAAAGCCAAGATATCATAAAGTCTTAACCGGACCATTGCGGCACTAGCTTTCAGATGAGCTCCATGGGCTTTAATTACAGATGGAATGCTAAAATAGAAAAGCACAGTTGGGATCAGCTTGCTAGAACAAACATTAACTATAAACACTTAATAAGATAACTTTTAGAATGTATTAATATATTTCCAAAGTGCGACAAGCATCATATGTTTTCAGTTTATTTTGAGATGTTATTACCAGAAACATTGTAGAATACAGCTGCATTTTAGAACACATCATTAATATCATTTTATTTTATATTTTTAAATTTTTAATTTATTTTCGTTTTATGTGCATGAGTGTTTTGCATGCATGCATGCAACTGCATGACAATGGAGGCCAGAAGAGGCCATTACATCCCCTGGAAGTAGAGTTATGAGCAGTTGTTGTTAGCTGCCATGTGGGTGCTGGGAACCAAAACGCTGCAAGAGTAGCCTGTGCTCTTAACCACTGAACCTTCTTTCCAGCCTCATTAATATAAATAAATTTTTTTAACTTATTTATTTGAATTTTATGTGTATGAGTGTTTTTTGTCTGCATGTATGCAAGTACACTCATGCTGTGCAATGTCTGCAGAGGCCAGAAGAAGTGTCAGATCCCCTGGAACAGGAGGTATAGATGGCTGTTAGCTGCCATGTGGGTGCTGGGAATTGAACCCAAATTCTCTGCAAGAGCAGCCAGTGCTCTTAACCATTGCGCTATCCATCCAGCTGCATCAATACAATGATGTTTTTATAGAACTCTAAAAGTGCAAAAATGGTAACTACATTTTTTATTTATTAATATATAAAATAAGATGTTAGCTTGAGACCCAGAAGCACCCATGTAAATACTGGGTGGGCATGGTGGTCCATCTGTAATCCCAGCACTTGGAAGGTGGAAATAGAGGATCCTCAAAGCAAGAGAATAACCTCAGAGAATAGCCATACTAGAGAGTTCTAGGTTCAAACTAGAGAATCTGCCTTAAATATAAGGTGGAGAGCAATCTAGGAAGACATCAAATGTCAACCTCTGGCCTCTATTCCTACACTCATGCATACACATGTGCACACATACACATGCAAAAAAATTAGGATGTTAACTTGGTTCTATTTACTTACTGTGACATCATGGTCATGGCACATTCAATGGGGGTCATTAACTTTCTAATCACATCTTCAGTTAAGAGCTCAGGACAATGTGCAACAAAACTCCTCATGGCTAGAGAAAAAAATTTAAGAGACAGATTTAAAGAAGTTTTTTGAACTAAAATAAATTTAAAATTATATAATGATAAAGGTACCTACAATTTTCAATTACTATAAGACTATATGAAACCAAAAGAAAATCAATATAATCTCTATAGAGAAAATTCAGTAGAAAAAGCTAGAAAAAAGTGCAGAACAGAAATGTAGGGAGGGATGGTATATTATGTTAGGGAGATTTAGGAATTTGGATGACTTTACAAAGATGCAGGTTTATAGTAATACGAGAAATAACAGATGATCCAGGGGAAAAGAGTATCTTTATTCATCCTTCAGCAAAATAGCTAAGCCCAAAACATGCCTCAGATGTGTGGTAACAAAACTGGTACCCTGCCCTGCCACCCTGACCATTAAATGCCTCTTTTCTCCTACCTTGGAGAAAGTAGTATTTTTCAACCTGGGATAAAACAGAACAGGGATACCCATTGAAATTTTAGTTCCCAAATGAAGTAAAACTTGAGCCTTTCCTGTAAGTTGCTGACTCCCAGACAAAAACCACTGTGTCCCTCTTGTTTGAAATGCTGATGTCTGAATAATAAATAATAACATTTGCACACTGGGAAACGATGCCCCCAAAAAGGTGATTTTTGTTACACAAAGGTTAACTAACTCAGTAGCCTTGTTGATGCTGAGTTTCATTTTCTTTTCAATGTCTGTTGGGTTTCTTTGTGGGATGGCACAGTACTTGCTAATAGGTGAATATAGCAACTACTGGAAATGAAGGACCCTGGGCTCCAATTCCTCACTTAATTCTGTAACTACTTCCTGAGTCTCAGCTCATTCTTACTACATAATAGCAATAGTTTAGCTATTACTGTGGTGATAGTTTGTAATTATTAGCAAACAAGTTATTTATAAATTTTCTACAATCTAAGAGTCTGCAGATTTAACAACAGATATTAAAATAAAAATTGAACTAGTGATTTTCCTTCACTTAGTAATATAAAAATATTCTGAAAGTGAAGTTCTTACCACATAAAGCTCCAGCACGACCTTCCAGAGTTACCTGCCAGGTAAAAGAATCTCCTCGGGCCTTCTCAGCCTCTAACTCCTTCAATGACCGAGGGAAAACATTTCGCCACAATAACAACATCTTGGGTAGATGGTAACGAACAACAGATGGTCCTAACCAAGAAAATGAGAAAAAACCATAAGTTAAAACATATATTACAAACAAAAAGAAAGGAGTTCCATTGGGCAAGGTGATGTACACCTGTAATTCCAGTGAGGTAGAGGCAGGAGGATTGGAGTTCAAGGCTAACATCAGGTATGAGTTCAACTCCAGTCAGGGCTACATGAGATCCTGTTTTACAAAAACTAATACACACACACACACACACACACACACAAAGGGAAAAGAGAGAGCCCTATACAAGCTTTACCAATATCCCTGTCATTTCTCTATTTTTTTACTTCTAGCATCAACTATAGTTTCAAAATGTTTTTATTCAGTAAGTAAAATAAACAGGTACTAAGACATAATAAAATTTACTTTAAAAGTACTGATATTTCTAGTATTCAAATTTATAGCAAATGTAGAAAAAGCTATTAAAAATTTCTCTGATGACATTAGAATAACATATTCCCTATTCACAATAATAAAACATACCTGGGAAACATTTTGTGAGAATTTTTCTATAAATATGAGTTATATAATACATAAGCATATACAACCACTCACACACATAGAAGTATATGTTCCTTCATTAGGGGGCAGTGCATGGTTAGTTTTATGGATAAGCAGTGTATGTAGCACTATATTTACATTGCTAAGAAATTCACTTAATGCACCAGTAACAGAGTTAACATAGACTCCTGGAGAATCATTGCCACTTTTACTTCTTTAGAAAACAGGTCCAAATATAATTACCAATAGGCAGATCTAGTCAGTAACTTCACAGTATGCACACACATTGTAGTAAGGTGAAATAAAAAGTGGACACACTTCATCACCACAGTATGAATTTCTGTCCTATGCATAATGGAAACTTTGTTTGTATCTAAGATTTATCTTAGCACTTAGGAAAGTAAAGCACACAAATGTTCTTCCCCCAAAGTCACACCAACAATGCTAAGTGTGACTTTACCATTATTATAACCAAGACTTCACTTAGGAAGAAAATTTTATTCCCCATTTCCTCACTCTACTAAGCTCATTAAGTAGACAATGGCTACTCTTTGGATAAAGGTAAAACTTTGCTAAGGGTTTGCACTTAAGCAGAAATTATGAAAAAGAAATATTTACTCCCAAATTAAGAGAAATACACCTTAATCATTTCTAAGCTCATTCAAAGACTATGATGTAAAGTTTAATAGCTTTGTTTGATTTATTTTTATTTTGTGTGTTTGAGTGTTTTGCCTGCCTATATGTAAACGACCTGTGAGTGCAATGCCTGTAAAGGCCAGACGAGGGTGACAGGTCTCCTGGAACTGGAGTAACTAATGGTTGTTAGCAGCCATGTGTATGCTAAGAATCAAACCAAGGTTCTTTATAAGAACAGTCAGTGCTCTTAAACACTAAGCTATCTCTCTAGTCCCAAGTTTAATACTTTTAAATTAAATTCACTGTATAGTCCACTGACATCTACAGAGTCAGACAAAATCCTCATACCTAAAGTCATGAGTGCTCCAAGTAAAAGCCAGCCAGCTTGGGTGCGCTGTAGAGATAATCTGCTGTTCTGGGCAGCAGTTCGTAACAGATCTTCAGCAATACTAACTACCATCTGCAAGAGAAGTTTAAAATTGGATTTTAACAAGGTGAAGAAATCAATAATGAGATAGATATAGTGTACATTTTATTAAAAATAAGGCTGACTTTTGTGCTCTTGTTAACATGTTTTCAAAGCAGCAACATCAAAACCCACTCTGGTTCAACTGCACTAATGACTCCCAGGAAACTCAAAACAGCATGGTGCTTGGAGTCAGCTCTGCAACCAGGTTGCCTGGGCTCATGTCCTAATTCTGTCACTGACTAGCTTTCTAACACAAGGCAACTCAACCTCTTTGTCTTCTCTCATTGGTAAAACAGAAATAATAGGAATATCTACCTCACTCTAGCCAGGATTAAGTTAATACAGGACTAAAAACAGGGTTAGCCTATGTGACCATCAACAAATTTCATTGCTGATTGGTATTATTATCTTATATTCAAGAATTTGTGATTTATGATTCATCTTCCTTCAAGCTAATCTTATAGAGCTTATAGTTCAGACACAGAAAAGTGTAAGTAAAATATGGCACATAATTAAAATGATAAAATGTATTATAGAAGTAGTAATGTCAGCCAAGGAAAAGTTAATAGTGTAGTTTTGAAGAGATTTCAGGAAGGAGATTGAACTTGGGCCTATAAACAAACAGGTTTGAGTTTGATACCAGTGAATAAAAAGTTCTAATACAGGGTTAAGAGCACTGGCTACCCTTCCAGAGGACCCAGGTTCACTTCTCAGCACTCACATGGCAACTAACTACTGTTCATAGATCCGATGGTCTCTGCCAGCATTGCACACATGGGTGCACGTAAGTACATGCAGGCAAAACACTTATACACATAAAATAAAAATAATTAAAATTTTAAAAAGAAGTTCTAATATAAGAAAGGTCTGAAGGCTGAAAAAGGCATGAGAAAGAATAACGGGGCATTCTGAGTAGAGAAGAGGAAAGTCAGAATGAAGAAGCATCACAAACTGAGTTCCCATCTCCTGTCAACCTGACAGAAGGCTGTACTTTATTCTGAGTATCAGGAAGCCCCTCTAAGGATTCTAAGCAAATGTGAAACGTGAAATGGTGTGAGGAACATGTGAGAAAGAAGACTTCAAGAAGGAAAATCAATGAGGAAGCAATCATATCAAAAGGGAGATAGAAGTCTACATTCCTGGGGCTGGAGAGATGGCTCAGCATTTAAGAACTCAGGTTGTTCTTGCAAAGGACCCGGGTTCGAATCCCAGAACCCACATGACAGCTAACAACTGTCCATAACTCCAGTTCCAGGGGATCCGACAGCCTCTTTTGTCTTCTGTGGGCATTGCACAACATGGGTGCATTTACCTACATGCAGGCAATATACTCATAAAAAAAGAAGTCTACATTCCTCAAGCAGCAACTAAGAACTCACAAGAGTTAGTGGATGTAAACCTAATATCCCAGAAAAAATAAGAATTTTAAATGGAGCCTGTGGTGGTTTGAATGAAAATGTCCCCTATAGGCTTCAAGTATTTGAATATTTTATCCCCAGATGATGGCACCATTTTGGGATATCTTAGAATGTGCAACTATCCTGGAGGAAACACGTCACTGGGGGTGGGCTTAGAGAGTTCTTAAGCCTTGCAGGATTTCTAGTTGCTCTCTTGCTTCCTGTGCCCGCTGGAAGATGTACAGCTTAGCTTCCACTCCTCCTCCAGCCACTCTGTCGCCATGCCTCCCTGCCATGATGGACTGTAATTCCCTTGGAACCATAAGCTCAAATAAACTCTTCCTTCTATAAACTGCTTTAGTCAGTATTTCTATCACAGCAACAGAAAAGTGACTAATACAGAGCCCCTATTTGCCTAAGTAAAGTTGCAAACAATATTTATATAAACACTTAAGATTCCTAAGAAGAACACAAGGATTGTAACATATACTAGAAAGAAAGGAGAGGGAAAAGGTAACTGATTTATTCAAAACCATTTAATTTCTAATGATTACCAAATACTAAATATGGTAACAGAAAATTTTCCTGCCACTTCAATCATAGCCATCCAAATTTTTACTTCTAAAAACTGAAAGAATCCCAGGCACAGTGGCACATGCCTGTTATCTGGTTCCTCAAGAGACTGAGGATTAGTTGAACGTTGGATGGATGGACACACACACACACACACACACACACACACACACATACACACACACACACACACAGAGGTATGTAAACATACACTTGTATATATACTCATGTTTTTAAAAAAACACAAATAAAAAGTTGAGTTTTAAATAATCATTGTTATTCTTCCTCTAAAAAAATTACAATATGACACTATACCTAGACAAGGTCTATTATTCCTATATTAGGATTAAATATCCAATTTTAGTTAGGGTCTGTTAACTGTATTCTACTTTTTCATAATGCTTGTCATTTGATTGCCTGGTTCAGCATTAAAGACAGTAGAGTTCCCATAAAGACCTAAGTCTATGTGACAGCATGAACAAGCCCAGGACCTCTGTCATACCTTTCCTTTGGCGTGTGGAATGCCCAAAGGACACTGATGAACTCCCCCTAACAAAGCAGCCATTGCGAAACTGTATCCACTAACGGCTTCTGGAGAAGTCTTCAAGTTGTTGAGCTGTTCTGCACACCTATCTAGAAATGGGGTCAACTGGAAAGGCAAGGCCACAGCCACACAGCGCAGACACCATGCAGCAGCAAGCCGAGCAGCCATGCTTGGGTGAAGAAGCACAGAAGTCACAATCTCCAAAAGTCCTAGAAAGGAAAATCCTCAAAATATTACTCTTTACTTGAGTAAAATGATTTCAGTGTTACAATTAAAACAAAAATCACTGTAATGTAACAGTTCCCCAGTTTTGCCAAAAAAAAACACACTAGTCATGAGCAGCAGAGTTCTTTAAAGAGACATACTGTGCAAAGAATATAGTACAATTACAACCAGTAAGATATAAATGCTGAAGCTTGGAGTGATGGCTCATGCCTGTAACTCCAGAAATTGAGAGGAAAAGGTAGGCAAATCTTTGAGTTCAAGGATAGCCTGGTCTATATAGTGAGTACCAGGCTTGCTAGGGCTACATAGAGAGATCTTGTTTCAGAAAAGGAAGAAAGGAAGAAGGAAGGAAGGAAGGGCAAAAGTCCTAGAAAGAAAAAAGTCCTAGAAAGGAAAAATGGAAGGAGGGAGGGAAGAAAACTGATACAGAGTCAAAGACTTCAACAAATTTTACTCAGTTATTAGAAATAATTCTCGTGACTTGCTTGATTTGTCTTCTAAACTTTCAGTATTTAGTTCAATATTCTTATCACAGTGAAGATTAACTTGAATAAAACCCAATGACCCTCTAATCATGATAATAACTAATTAGGAGTTAAATATCAATTTACCTATAACTCTGAAGCTATTACAGCAAGAACTGGATGACATACCTACGGATGCCTCCTGAATAAGGGGAGAGGCGGTGGCATTCAGGCTCTGCACCAGGCTTCCGAGTTCCTGGAGGGCACAGACCATGACGTGCTGGCTCGCTGCAATGTCTGCTGCTCCTGACTTGTTTTCACTATTTGTATCATTCACTACTGCTTCTGAAAACACAAAATCATGATTCTGATGTGGGTGGAATGATTTGTGATACAATTTTTTAGTCTATATGATTTGTATTTATTTTCATATCATTTGATTCCTTCATGTTAAAAGCTATGCAATTATTGCTTGGGGACTGGACAGGTGGCTCAGTAGTTAAGAGCATTACTGCTCTTGCAGAGGCTCTGGGTTCAATTCCCAGCACCTACATGGCAGCTAACAACCATCTGTACCAGTTCCAGGTGATCTGCCACCTTCTTCTGACTGAGGGCATCACACGACAGTTTCACTTACATAGATGCAGGCAATACACTCATACACATAAAATAAAAATAAATTTTAAAAAATTTTAAAAAGCCATGCAGTTATTGCTTGGTAGAAAGCACATGTAACTAAGCACTGAGCTGAATTTAAATTTCGGAAGGAGAGGAGATATGTGTGTGCCATAACTTGCATGTGGAGATCAGAAGAGAACTTGTTAGAATTAGTTCTCTCCTTCTACCATGTTTTCCCAGGGACTGATCTCAGGTCATCTAATTTGGCAGCTCTTACCCAGTGAGCCATCTCACTAGGCCTGAATTGATATTAAAACAGTGCTGAGTGGCTTCAAGAAAATAGTAAAATGAATAATGTGCATATTTGATTGCTTCTAGGAATACAACCTAATTTTAGAAAGAGCAGCAATTCACAATGTTTTACAGAAAACTCAGAGGTAGAGTTGTCTCTCAGGGATAAAGTGTTTGCCCTGGTACACATGGGGTCCTGGGTTCAATCCCTAGCATCACAGAAAACAAATACAAACAAACCACCAACAAAAGCAACTAGTGAGGGAAGACTTAGTTTCTAACAGAAAGTTCATGTTAACCCTGTGACGAGGCATGGTACTCAATTTTTCTGTGTCAGGTTCCTCATCTGTAAAAGGGCTAACCTGCCCATCTCAAAGGCTTCTATGTTGATTAAATGGTCAACAACAAATACACAGAACTTAACCTATCCTGCCCCAGAACACATTCAACAAATGTTAAGTAGTTATTACTGTTACTTAGTATTATTACTGCTATTTCAAGAGCTCTATCATTGTCAAATCACTAACCAGAAAATGGCTCTATTAGGAAAGTGAGATTCCAACTTACTGGACTGTTCCTCCAAGTTCCTATTTTGCTTTCATGTCTCTTCCCACCACCTTTTCACATGCACTAGAATTAAAATATATTTATATGAGGCAACTAAAGATGCCTTGGCAAGCTACTAATTGAGAATATATTCTGGTCCATAAAGCCCTCAAGTAATTGTTCTTAATTCTTCTTTTAGTATTTTTTATGGTCAAACGGGCTAATCTACAACCCTAAGATTAGTAACCTTTAAAATGACAGTAAAATTTCCTTATTTTTTCATTCATTGTGAACTGACAACAAAGATGTATATACAATACAGAATGACATAATATAATGGATTAATAAATGATGGACTAAAATTCCTATTTTCTTTTAAGTATTTCTGGACTTGAAAGTGCATGAACTCTTGTTTAATCAGTGCACCCTCAACATAGGAGCTAACTGTGCCTGACTTGCTTGTTTACTCCCATCACTGAGTACAGTGTTTTTGGCACCAAAACGCTTACAACAACATACAAAACATTTCTAAGTTATGAATACAGGATACATTATTATTTAAGTATATCTTTAAAAAATTCCTCATTAATTGAAATACCCTTTATAATTTTCAGTTAGCTCTATACATTTAAAAATGATTTAGTAAGTAAGATATTATAAATGATAAAAAAACAACAAATTTCTGGTCTAGAGAGATGGCTCAGCAGTTAAGAACACTGACTGTTCTTGCAGAAGACCTGAGTTCAGATCCCAGCACCCCCATGGCAGCTAACTGTCCGTAACTCCAGTTCCAGGGGATCAATCCAACAGCCTCTTCTGTCCTCCACAGGCACCGCACAACAGGGGTGCACTTACCTACATGCAGGCAATACATGCATACACATAAAATAAAAATAATAACATTTAAAAAAAAACAAATTCCTTTGGGCAATATAATTTGCTTCATTAAAAATCAATCACTAGGCCTGGAGAGATGGCTCAGCAGTTAAGAACACTGACTGTTCTTGCAGAAGACCTGGTTCGAATCCCAGCACCCACATGGCAGCTAACAACTGTGCATAACTCCACTTCCAGGGGATTCGACAGTCTCTTCTGTCCTCCGTGGGCACTGCACAACCCAGGTGCACTTACCTACATGCAGGCAATACACTCATACATAAAAAATAAAAATATAAATAAAATATTTAGAAAAAAATTAATCACTATTTCCAACAGTGATAAAACTAAATTGCCTTATAAAATGGATATTTTGCCTTGCTTTGGTCCACTAAGTGCATTATAAACTCTATGAAGGTGGGAACTTTGAATCACTCGTTTAAATCTTGAGTTACTATTCTGCACATTTCAGATAACTTAATAACTACTTACTAAACTGAAAAAGAGATGACATCCACACCTTTCAGAGAAGGCTTTCCTTTTAAGGCTGCAATGGAATATGGTAAATTTCTACTGTCCTGTAGCGTAGTAACAAACCTACGGCTGAGACAACTGTATGTCAGAATAGCCAGCATTGAGGATGCTGAAGGCTTCCAACACAATGAGACTATCCATGTTTGGTGTGACGAATGTGCCAGTTGCCCTGATCTGAGCATGACATGCAGTTTAATAAGCATTAAAATGTCACACTGTGAGCTGGGTGTGGTTGCCATGCCTTTAATCCCAGCACTCAGGAAGCAGAGACAGGTGGATCTCTGTGAGTTCAAGGCTAGCCTGGTCTGCATAGTAAGCTCCAAACCAGCTGAGGCTACAGGGAGACCCTGGCTCAAAAAGACCAAAAGAAAAAAAAAGTCACACTGTATCCCAAAACAAATACAATTTTATGTCATTCAAAAATTCAGCTGGAAAAAGATTTCATAAAATTATGAATTACTGAGGTTTCACAATGATTCATACAAAAGCCTAATAGCTATATAGCTATCTAAAATTATTCCTGTCTAAGTCTTTATGTTAAGTCTATTCAAGAAGGGATATAAAAAAAAAAAAAAATACAACAAATTATCCCACAAACACAAAAACAACACAGCACTGAATTCCAAGGGAACTGGAAGTAGCAGGATTAACTAAAAAACAGAAAACTTGACCTTACCAATGTGCCCCTCCAATCCTTAAAACTGTTTCAATACAATTATATGCTATTTTAATATTAGCTAAAAGTACTCAATAAAAATGACTACCAGCTGGGCATGGTGGCGTATACCTTTAATCCCAGCACTTGGGAGGCAGAGGCAGGCGGATCTCTGTGAGTTCAAGGCCAGCCTGGTCTACATAGTGAGTTCCAGGACAGATGGGGCTACAGGGGGACCCCGTCTCACAAAAACCCCCCCCCAAAAAAAAAGACCAAAAAAAAAAAAAAAAAAAGCCCAGAAAGGTGCACATTGATCAGAGCTGTCAGTATTTTTTAAGAAGAGGAATGATAATCCTAGTGCTCACAAGTTTGAGGGAAGAAAATGTAAGAAAGAAAGAACAAAATTACTGACTAGCGCCATCAGCAGCACACACCGTAACATCAATTCATACTTACCCACTGTTTTCATCTGTTTCCCAATAGCCTGGCAGATCTCCTTGGCAGCAGCTATCTGGGCTTTCTCACCCAACAAACTGCCCACGGTGGCTCTCAGGATGAAAGAGACACAGCGCCTTGAGTACACGGCCTCCACATGTGTTTGTGTTGCCCGAGGATGGGAAACCAGGTCAAGTACATGGGACAAGAATGTGGCAAAGCTACGCTCTAGCCACTGCCCACCCAATGTTGTTACAAAAACAACATATGCCTATAAATACATTAAGATACAACTTCAGATAACTTCATATAAATTAAAAGAATCACAGAAAGCAACTACAGAAATAAGTGACAGCAACATAAAAAATATATTTGATATCAAAACAGAACAAATTTAAATTTCACATCTTTTTAGAATTTCTAACATGGGAATTATTGGTAGAATCTTTGAATAAAACAATTCCCAAAAAGAAAGAAAAAGGGTAGGCAGGGAGGGAGGGATTGAGAGAGGAAAGAAAAGGAGCCAGGCACAGTGGTGCATCCTATAATCTCAGCATTCAGGAGGCTGAGGTAGGAGGATCACTTTAAGTTTGAGGCCAGCCTGAGCAAGACCCTATCGCCCAAAACCAAAACACAAAACAGTTCTCAAGATAAAGTGTCATGAAGAACATAAAGAGAATGTGTTGAATGTGGAAAGGAAAGCTAAATTTACCCAGAGATCAGCAGGGTAGCATCATATGAGACACAAACACAACACTGCAAATAAACACTGAGAAGCAGCATACTTGCTGATGCCCTTCTAAGACAAAGATGGCTGCTTCCATTTTACACTTGTTTCGGGGACAAGATAATGTTGTGGTGACTTTGACTAAGATCATGAACCATTTCATTTTACTAAATGTGATCATGAGATTTTAACTATATTGTTTGATTTGATATTAGTTATCATTTTGAAATTATGATTCCAAGTCAAATTTAATCTTATAATTACAATGGAGATTAATCACTGACAACAAATCAAATCCAAGCTTAAATCAATTATTTTTAGCTACAAAATACTTGGAGAATTAAAATCCAAATGCCTCTGGGGCTGGAGAGATGGCTCAGCAGTTAAGAGCACTGACTGTTCTTACAGAAGACCTCAGTTCAAATCCCAGGACCCACATGGCAGCTGGCAACTGTCCGTAGCTCCAGTTCCAGGGGATCTGACTCCCTCTTCTGACCTTTGCGAGTACTGCACAATATGGGTGCATGTACATGCATGCAAGCAATACACTCATATACTTTATTAATTATTATTTTTATTAATTTTTTTATTTTTGGTCTTTTTGAGACAGGGTCTCCCTCTAGCCCCAGCTAGCCTGAAACTCATTATGTAGACTAAGCTGGCCTCAAGCTCAGAGATCCACCTGCCTCTGCTTCCCAAATTTTATTATTTTTAAGGGATTTCATTGTTTGTGGGTACATTTTTATTTTACTTCATTTATTTACTTTGTTTTTTTAAGACAAGGTCTCCAATATGGAGCTGATAGATTGGTCTTGAACTCGGGGTCCTCCTTCCTTAGCCTCTGGCATATACCATCATGCTAGCCAAATCTTACTATATATCTCATTTGTTCAAAATAAAATTTGGGAATTTTTAGATTTTGTTTTTTGGTTTTTGTTGTTGTTTATTTATTTTTTATTTTATGTGCATGCATGTATTGTTTGCATATATGTAAGTGCACCATGCCCATGGAAGACAGAAGAAGGCATCACATCCCTTGGAACTGGAGTTATACATGGCTGTTAGCCACCATGTGGGTGCTGGGATTCAAACCCAGGTTCTCTGCAAGAGCAGTTAGTGCTCTTAACCACTGAGCCATCACTCCAGTCCCTTGTTTTCATTTTTTGAGACAGGGTCTCCCTGTAGCCCCAGCTGGTCTGGAACTAGCTACATAGACCAGGCTGACCTCTACCTCACAGAGATCCGTCCACCTGCCTCTACTTCTAGAGTGCTGGGATTAAAGGTAAGAGTCAGCATACCCGGCTAATTTTTTAGATATTTATATACATATAGTAGCTAGATACTTGTTTACACATAATTAAGAATTTGCCTTTCAGGTAGGGGGTGTAGCTCGGTAATAGAGCACTTGCCTGCCATGCACAAAATTCTAGGTCCAATGCCTAATCTCACAAAAAAGGGGAGGGGGGAATCTATCTTTTTATGTAAGCATGCAAAGAAATTTGGAATTTGAATTTCATTCATTCATGGGTTAAAGATTTTCAAGCAACCAGATAATATTAAAATTTTCTGTGTGTTCTGGCACAACAGTCTTTCATGAAATAACACAAACAGAATTCTCTTATATATCACAAACCTGTGTCACTCCAACTCTAACTTCACGATTAACAGAGCCTCCAACTTTTAACATTTCTCCACCACTCTTCAAGAAACCTGACCCTCCACGCAAAAATCCTGTGGCCATGAGTTCTAAGACTTCATCAAATGTTGCTCGCTTCACATTCTGACGCATGACTTTAAGGAATGAAAGCAAATTTAAAAGTGTTTCTGAAGCAAAGTTGCTCGTATTTTTTATATTCTAGCTTAAAAATTCAAGTAATTATTTGAATTTTTAAATAATTCAAACAATATGGAAAAGGTCATACAGTTTTTTATAAAGTAAACTTTTTTTTTTAAGACAGAGACTACAGAGTCTCACTATGTAGCCCTGGTTGACCTGGAACTCAATATATAAAGCAGGCTATTCTCACGAAGACCCAACTGCCTCAGTCTCCCAAGTGCTGAGATCCAAGGCATATACCACCATATCTAGTTTGAATTAATTTTTGAAGCAAAAACAAAAAAGGCTAAGTGGAAGGAGCTAGAAAATAAAGCAATTCAATAAGACTATGCCAAACAATCTAATAATGGCAATACATTTAATATATGTAACACGGTAAAAATGAAGGACACCCATGGCAGACATCATCACTAACCAGTTCTTATTCCCAAATGAGGTGGACAAGAATCTTTTTTTCTAAAGATTCAATTTTTACTTATATGTGTGTGTGTCTATGTATGTATGTATCTGTGTATGTATGTGTTTATGTGCTCATGGAGGCCAGAACAGGAAACAAGATCCCTCTGGAACTATGAGTTACAGGTGGTTGTGAACCCAACCATCCAACATAGTGCTGGGACTAGAACTCTGGTCCTCTGGAAAAGCAGTAGGCCTCCAAACCACTGAGCCATCTTTGCAACCCCACAAAGAACCTTCTCTACACAGCAGCTACCAATGGATTAAAATGCAACTGAGATTTGCAACTACTGACCATTCCAGGTATCGAGTGGCACAACTACAAAATCGTTTTGTGCATAGTAGCAAACACAATCCTCATAAAAATTCTGTAGAGGTAAAAAGAGGAAGTATAAAGCTCATTGATAAGTATATAGGTTTTTGAACTGGGTGTCTGGGTTTGAGTTTCATTTCTAACATTTAAATAGAACACTTTCGTAGAACACAAGTTACATAATCTCTGGCTCAATCTCCTCATTTATAAAATAATAACAATGGTATTTGAAATTCATAGGGCTTCTTTTGAGAATTAAACACAATGTTACAGTATACTTGTCATATAGTACCTAAAAATGTTACCTCAACATTATCATATAATGAAATAATTATTAAATGTGAGGAAATCAAAGCCCAAACATATTAACTAAGAACTGTAAGGGTTCAAACTTAAACCTACAGCATGTAATTTCTTCTTCTGCCATACAGAAGGTGGGGTGGGGGTGAGGACAACACCAGAGCTGGGACCACTTGCCATCTGCTATGCTGTACTTTATTCCTATTGTTACTCATACTACTCACAATCATTCCTATGACATCTGTGGAACTATGAGGCAATACAAAAGTCACTAAGAAAATCAATGCTGCCTTTTGACACTGCTTATAATAATGATTGAGAAAATTAAAAATTAACACTGTGGTATAAAAATCTATCAAAGACTGAAAGTAAGAAATTAGCACATAAAATGTCACACTCCCTTAGGGGCTGGAGTGATAGCTCAACAATTAAGAATACTGGCTGCTCTTGCAGAAGACCTGGGTACAGTTCTCAGCACCCACATGACAGCTAACAACTGTCAGTAACTCCAGTTCCAGGGAACACAACACCCCCTTCTGGCCTCTGTGGACATTGCGTGTACGTAGTACACTTATATACATGCAGGCAAAATACTTATATACATAATATTTTCTTAAAAACTTTAAAATGCCACATTTCCATACTTTAATCATTATACAAATCATTTCATAAATCTTACTTGCTATATCTTCAACAAAATTGCTAGATATTAACTTGTATATTAGTATCACAATGTATTCACTGTTTCAAAATAAGTGCCATTTGTGTTTTTTTCTTTGATGCAATGATATCAATTTAAATCCCTTTAAAGTGACCTGTATATATGTAGTAACTAATTTAGAGGGGAGCATTCATTCCACACACCTTCAAATCTGCTATAGTCTAACTCAGGAGTTAATAACAACAATACCTGTCGCCTGTTTTGGCATCAATGCTGTAGCCATGACTGTTCCTAAAAGTTTAGACACTGCCACTCGCACCCCATAATTTGAGTTTTCTAAAGCCTTAAAGCAGAGAGTGGCTATATTTTCCAGTTCAGCGGTCCACATGAATACTGCTTCATTTTGTAGTTCCAAGAGACACTGGAATTAAAAAACAAATGACAAAAAAGTAATCAATATACTAGAACTTCTGTATTCCCAGGTAGACTGACAGAACCAAACTGGTAATCTCCTGAAATTTCCAAAGAACTGGACAAAATATATTAAACAACCATTTTCAAGGGTGCATATCAGGCAGTTAAAGAAAGTTAGCCTTTAAGGCAAAAAACTAACACAACAGATTTAAAACTTACTCAACAAGTAATAGATAACCTGACTAATAAAATATATATTTCAAATATTGATCATGTAGCTCAAAATCTTCTGCAGTGATTAATTTAGCCAAATGTTTAAGTTAAGAAATAATATTAGTTCTATATAAATTCTTCTAGAATACGGAAGGAAACTTTTTCACTTATCCTATGAGGTCAATATCTCTCAGTGTCTCCCATAAAGACATCACAAGAAAAGAAAATTGTATGTGTACAGAATATATATTACCAAAAGAAACTGACAGAACTATTAAGTCAGTTCAGTAAGGCTGGTAGAGATAAATAACATTTTGAAAAAAACAATTTATTTTATATGCTAGTAATGAACAATTAGAAAAAAAAATTAAAAAGCAATGTCACTTTAAAAGCATAATAGGCCAGGTGTGGTGGCACACACCTTTAATCCCAGGACTCGGGAGCACTCTGTGAGTTCAAGGCCAGCCTGGTCCACATAGTGAGTTCCAGGACAGCTGGGGCTACAGGGAGACCCTGTCTCAAAAAGACCAAAAGAAACAAAAAACAAAAAACATGGGGCTAGAGAGATGGCTCAGTGGTTAAGAGCACTGACTGCTCTTGCAGAGGACCTGGGTTTGATTAACCGGCACCCCACATGGCGGCTAGGAACCGTCCTTAACTCCAGTTCCAGGGGAATCCAAAGCCCTCTTCTGACCTCCACGGCATTGCACGACATGGGTGCACTCACATACACACAGGAAATACACTCATACACATAAAATAAAAATAATAAATAAAATATTTTTGTAAAAAAGCACAATAAACATAAAATTTGTAGGGATAAATGTGACAAGATATGGTAGACTTTACATTGAACATCATAAAATGTTGCTAGGAGAAACCAAAAACCTAAATAAATATAGATATGTACCATGTTCATAGGTTGGAAGACAATATTCTTAAGGTATCAATTTGTTTCAAAGCAATTCAAGAATTCAAGGCAATCTGAATGATAATCAAGCAAGTATTTTCACAGACACAAAAATGTTAACACTAAAGTTCATATGAAAATGCAAGGTACCTAAAATAGACACAACAGTTTTGAAAAAGAATAAAAGGCCAAGACAACTTTATTTCAAGACACATTACAAAGGCACACTAATCAATTCTGCTTCCCTGGGCCTGCACCATCCACAAGACTCCAGACCTTGACTCCGCCAGCCTCATTCACCCTCCCATCCGCCTGTCTCTCCTCCTAGCCTGGATCCTGTCCCATTCCTTGTCTTGGGGCCCCAGATACAGGGGAGCCACCACTGCTTTCTGATCCTTTGCATCCAGACCAACCCAGTTACTTCTTGGGTCCCCAGGAGCACTGCTTCTGAGCCTGCCCCACCCCTCCACCTCCCTCTGCTTCCCCAGTCTGCACAACACCCCAGCCTCTCTCCCTGGAGGCCTTGGGGCCTGGTCTGGCCCAAACCTCCCTCTGCTTCCTGGGCTGCACAACCACCAGCCTCTTTCCTGGACCCAGGGGCTGACCTTTCCTCTTCCTGATCCTTTGCATCCAGACTAACCCAGTCCCTCAGTGCAGTCCCCAGGAGCTGCACTAGACCAGCATCTTTCCTGGGCCGGGCTCCCAAGTCAGTCCAACCACCAAATTCTTGAGGCCAAAATCTTTCCTGGAGGGATCCAGACCTTAGGAGAAAGCCTGAGAGCATCTGATCCTCATCTGACTTGGGCCTCTGTGGGAACTCCTGAAGACAAAAGCAATCTGGCTACTCCAATATAAAATCAAAAGAGAACAGGAAGCTTAGAGGAACCAGCTTTTTATGCCCCAAAAGTAAACCACAAAGACACATAA